GTAGTAAAGAAGGCATTTGGTACGTTCGCCTATATTGGTCAGTGCAGTGAGTAAAGGAATTGGGAGGCCATGTTGCGGCTACACAGGACACTATTTTAGGCCACTTTTGGAATACTGCATTCTATCCTGGACTCCTTGCTGTAGGAAAGCTGTTGTTAAACTTGAAAGGGTTAGGAAAAGATTTACAAGGATGTTGCCAGGGTAGGAGGATTTGAGCTTTAGGGAGAGGCTGAATAGACTGGTGCTGTTTTCCCTGGATCGTCAGATGCTAAGAGGTAACCTTATAGAAGTTTATAAAATGATGAGGGACATGGATAGGGTGAATACCCCGCGTGATTTCCCCAGGGGAGGGGAGTTCAAAACTGACATTCAGTTGCGTTCAGTTCTGGCTGCCACATTACAAGAAGGATGTGGAGACTTTGGAAAGGGTGCAGAACAGGATGCTGCCTGAAATAGAAGATATGAGCTATAAGGAGATGCAAGAAAAACTGGGGTTGTTTTCTCTGGAGTGGCAGAAGCTGAGAGGAAAGAAGTCTGTACATTTATGAGATGCATAGATGGGGTTGATGGTCAGAATCTTTTTCCCAGAGTTGATATCTCTAAAACTAGGGGGCATGCATTTAAGGTGAGAGGGGGAAAGTTCAAAGGAGATATGAGGGGCAAGTTTAACATGGAGAGTGGTAGGAGTCTGGAATATGCTGTCTGGGATGGTGGATAGGGGCGTTTAAGGGACTTTTAGATAAGCACATGAATATACGATCATTGGAAGGATATGGACCAAGGGCAGGCAGAATGGATTGGTTTAATTTGGCATCATGTTTTGCACAACATCATTGGCTGAAGGGTCCGTTCCTGTGCTATACAATTCTGTGTTCCATGTTAGAGGGCATAGGTTTAAGGTGAGGCAGGAAAGATTTAAAATGGACCTACGGGGCAACCTTTTCGTGCAGAGGGTGGTGTGTGTATGGAATGAGCTGCCAGAGGAGGTGGTGGAGGCTGGTACAATTACAGCATTTAAAATACATATGAATAGGAAGGGTTTAGAGGGATATGGGCCAAATTCTGGCAAATGGGACTCAATTAATTTAGGATATCTGTCAGCATGAACGAGTTGGACTGTAAGGTCTGTTTCCATGCTGTCCACCTCTATGACTCTATTTCACCTGGACCAGATGGACTACACCCCAGAGTTCTGAAGAAGATAGCTGAGGAGATTGTGGGGGTTTTGGTGGTGATCTTTCAGGAATTAATGGAGTCGGGGAGAGTGCTGGAAAATGGCAATGTAACATCCCTGTTTAAGAAGGGAGAGAGACAGAAATCAGGAAGTTATAGGCAGTTAGCCTGACCTCGGTTGTTGGTAAGATTTCAGAGAATCCATTATTAAGGATGAGACTGCAAAGTACTTGGAAAGGTGTGGTAAAATAGGGCTAAAACAGCATGGCTTTCTCAAGGGGAGGTCATGCCTGACAAACCGGTCAGAATTCTTTGAGGACGTAACGAGCAAGTTAGGCAAAGGAGAGCCACTAGACGTGATCTATTTAGATTTTCAGAAGCCTTTGACAAGGTGCCATATAGGAGGCTGCTCTGTAAGATAAGATCCCATGGTGTTAGAGGCAGGGTACTGGCATGAATTGAGGATTGGCTCATTGGCAGAAGTTAGAGAGTGGAGATGAAGGGGTATTTTAGAGGATGGCAGCTGGTGGAGTTTCGCAGGGGCCAGTGTTGGAACCACAACTATTCTCAATATACATTAACGAACTGGATGAAGGAACTGAAGGCATTGTTGCTAAGTTTTCAGATGACACAAAGAAAGGTTGAGGGACATGTAGTGTTGAAGAGGCAGGAGACTGCAGAAGAACTTAGACAGGATAGGAGAGTGAGTGAAATGCCAGATGGAATACAGTGTGGGAAAGTGCGAGATTATGCACTTTGGAAGGAAGAATAGAGGCATAGACTACTTTCTAAAAGGGGAAAGGCTTTGGAAATCTGGAGCACAAAGAGACTTAAGAGAATCCTGAACAAAGATTCCTAAGGTTCAGATGCAGGTTCAATTGACAGTAGAAAAGTAAATATAGTGTTAGCATTCATTTCAAGAGGGCTAGAATACAAGAGCAGTGATGTGCCACTGAAAATTTATAAAAGTCTCTCATCAGACTGGATTTGGAATATGCTAAGCAGTTTTGGACTCTGTATCTAAGCAACAATATTCTGGCCATGGATGGGGTCCAGAGGAGGTTGACAAGAATGATCCCAAGAGTGAACAACTTGAAGAGCAGTTGAGAACTCTGGGTCTGTACTCAATGGAGTTTAGAAGGATGAGAGGGATGTCATTGAAACTTACAGAATACTAGGAGGCCTAAATACAGTGGACATGGAGAAGATGTTTCCATGAGTAAGAGAGACTACAACCTAGGTGCACAGCCTCAAAGTGAAGGGAGAACGCTTTAGAATTGAGATGATGAGGAATTTCTCAGCCAGAGGGTGGTCAATCTGTGGAACTCTTGCTGTAGAAGGTTGTAGAGGCCAAATCATGGAGTGTACTTAAGACAGAGATAGAGAGGTTCTTGATTAGCCATGGGGATCAAAGGTTACAAGGAGAAGGCAGGAGAATGGGGTTGAGAAGTATCATCAGCCACGGCTGAATAGTGGAGCAGACTTGATTTGACGATGGCCTAGTTCTGCTCCTATATCTTATAGTCTCTCTCTGAACATCTTGCCCTATATCTGTCCTTCACAACCTTGGATTTAAAACAAAAACAAAAACAGAAATTGCTTGAGAAACTCAGTAGGTGTGGCAGCATCTGTGGAGAAAAATCAGAGTTGACATTTCCAGTCCAGCGACCCCTTTTCAGAATGCCAGACCTGCTGAGTTTCTCCAACAATGTCTGTTTTGCTTTAAGATCCACAGTTTTTTCTTTTGTTTTGGATTTAAAATTCTTATTCAAATATTTAAATTCTTGGCCTCATCACTCCTTCGTCACTGTAGCCTGAATCCCAATAACCTAGTGAACTTAGCATTCCTATGAATCTGGCCGTAGTGGCAGTCATGCTTTCAGATGTCTAGGCCGTAAGGTTCACAATTTGTTTCTTAAAACTTTCTGTCTACCTGCCTAACTAAAATGCTCCTTAAAACCTACTTTGACCCAAGACTTGGCCACTTTTCTTAATTAATTCTTATATAACATAGCATCAAGACTGATTCAAAATATAATTATAAAGTGAGATAGGGTGCGCACTTTCCTGTATGAACATGGATCATTTGAAAATCATTTAAGATGATTTCATTATCTTAAAATGCCAAGGTTCTGCTGCTCCTCTCTGTACAACCTTAAAAGCCTGAACGGCCTGTTCACATCATGATATCCTGAAGTTAAGTATTGTACCACTTCAGAATGTACAGCAATCATTTGTTTTGGGATTGTTTTACAATTGTATGCTGTTTATTGGCTGTTTTGAAATGTATTCTATTAAATTTTAGTGTTTTCAAGGGGCAGCTTCTCTCCTTGCAACAATTTCTCCATTGTAAAATGGTCAACACAAATTCACATTTAATTAAATTCTCATGATATTTGTAATGTATCTGAATGGTAATGGTCACATCATCGAAGAAAACTGAAATAACTGATCCTCAATTTCAATATTCCTGAGTTTAGTTTTCGCTCACTCCTGGAACAATTTCCATATCACAAAGCTCTCGCCCTGCTTTAGTGTACTATAACTATAAAGGATGCACTGGACAGAAATTATTAGAAACTGTCTCCCCAATGTAATAGAAGGAATTTAAGCAATTGCAGATTTTCTAAACACTGACATGCTGGGATGTCTCAAACCAGAAGTGAACTCTCTCTCACATGATCATAACAATCTCATCCAAAGGTGAGCCTCATCCATTTGAGTGACAAAGCTTATCTGAGTTCAATCCCCAGTTGAGACAATTGTATCAACAACAGTTTGTAGTAAAATATTGCAAGGCACTTTACAGGAGAGTTTGCAAACAGAATTTAACATGGAGGGGATATTAGGCCAGGTTACCAAAACCTGATTTCAAGAAATGTACTGTATTAAAGGAAAGAGTGAAAGAGAGATTATGGAATAATACCCAGAGGCTGGGGTCTTAATAGCTGAATACATTATACATAAATTATGGAACAGTTAAAATCAGGAATGCTCAAGTGACCAGAATTGGAGCAGGGTAAGAATCTTGGAGGATTGTGAGGTTGGAGGAAATTATACTGGTAAGAGTGAAACCATGGAGGGACTTTAAAACAAGGATGTGAATTTTAAAATCAATCAACAGTCAACACAGGTCAGTGAGCAAAGGGCTAATAGTTAAGCAGGATTTGCTGCAAGTGAAGGCACAGCAAAACATCGCACAACCTCAAATTTATGAAGGGTTCAAAGTCGGACTACAGATAGGACAGTTTTCAAATAATTAAGCCTAGAGTGACAGAAGCATAGCTGCGGATTTCAGCAGCAAATGAAACAGGAGTGAGTTGGGCAATAAAATAAGACTGGTAGTCTTAGTCATGGTGGTCAGAGGCTCATCTCTGGATCAGATGTGACACCAAGGTTCCATCAGTCTGATTCAATTTCAAGCTTGAAATTGTCTAATTCTAACTCTGGGGAAAGGCTGAACAGGCTGGAGTTCTCTTCTCTAGGGAAGCGAGCCCACCTGATAATAAGTATCCAAAATAATCAGAAGGTTCGTCAGATAGACATAGAGAAGACCAAAACTGTTGACTGAATTTAAGATAAGCACTGATAGATCCACTTGAAAATTCAGAAGAAATGTCTTTAGCTAAAAGAAGTTAGAATGTAAAACAAACTATCAAGGAGTATCTGATGTGAATAATGTAGATATATTTAAGTAGAATCTGCAAAAGTACATGAGGGAGAAAGGAGTAGATGGAAACGCTGACAGGTGAAGTAAAATGGGAGGGGGCCTACTAGGAGCATAAACACAAATATGAACTAATTGTGTTGAATGATCTAATCCTGTGCTACAAATATTAAGTTACAGACATGCATTCATGCCCTGGCTTATTTAATATTTGCATTTATTCTGTTTTAGTTACGGCAGTGTTAGATTAGGAAGCATGTCAATAACATGGTCAGATTAGCTGAAATGTATTAGGTTTATCCTTAAGAGCATTTTTCCCCTAAAATGTTACTTTTGTTACTGAATGATAGTTCGACTTCATAGTAAATATTTTTGAACATATGCTTTGTGTACTTTTTCTCTTTGCATGCACATTTAATATGTTGTTCAGTCTCCACTGTATAATCTGTAAAAATAGAATGGACATACATAGCTTCCCTCTAAAGCCAGTACTTGCTGCCACCAGGCAATTGTGCTTATAACGTTTTATATTTAACATACAAAACAAGAAACACTCTAGTTAGAAAAAGTCATCTAAATACTTATGCTTCTTTTAAAAAGTGAAGTTACTGTTAAATCCTTTATGATTGTGCAATTGAAACAAGTCTGTGTTGTCACAACTATAGTAAACGTAAAACACTCAGTAAGGTTCATTCCCCTAGAACTGGAGCAAAAATTACAGCATGCACATGTGACAATTCCAACACCTGTGATCTTCTGTTTAGACCCAGTGGTTCTTGCTTCACTCCACACCCCCCGCCCTGTTCTCCCCAAATCCAACTGATATCTATCAGAGGATGACGCAGAAGAACTTCTTCTCTCTGAATGGGTTTTCAGAAGCTGGCAGTGGGGCGATGAGTGGATCATCCCTAAGGTGAGCATCACAGTAAGCCATCAGGTCAGCTGATGCCTTTGATACCTGGAACATGTCAAAGAAAGACCAGTATTAGAAATGGTTTTGCCTGAGTGATGTACTGGGGAGAGAAGATTCTGGCTGAACTGCTCTCATTATCATAGTTTTTCTTTTATTTGTTCTTGGTATATAAGCCTTTGCTGGGCTAATTAAATTTAAACTGCTGGAGTCCATCTGGTATAGGTATGCCCATCTTCCTTTGAATGAATTCCAGAGGAGTTGGTGGTGCAGTGGTAATGTCAGTGGACTAGCAATCCAAAACCCCAGGCAAATGTTCTGGGCACACAGAATTGAATCTCACAATGGCAGGTGAAAATAATAAACACCACCTACGAGAGAGAGCTAGCCTAATTACAACATGCAACCATTGTTTATTCACATGAAATCCTATCTAGCTCACTAATTTCCTAAATGTGAGGAAATTTGTTGTCCTTACCTGGTCTGGCCTACATGTGACTCCAGACCCACTTCAATGTAGTTTACTGTGGACTGGCATCTGGGTAATTAGAACACCCACAACCCTCTGAGGTAGATCATTTGAAAGGTTAATGATCTGTTGATAAAGAAATTTCACTTCATATCAGTCCTAAACAATTAGCTCCTTATCCTGAGACCGTGCCACTTTGTTCAGAATCTTGCATGGTTTAATAAGATCGTCTCTCATTTTTCTAAACTTTTAAGGTCCAATTTGTTCAGCCTCATCATAGGCAACCCTCTAATTTCAGGAATCAATCTAGGGAACCTTTGCCTGTCATGTCTCCTAGGCAAGTATAAGTTTTCTTAGAGAGATCACAACATCCTGATAGTACTTCAGATATGGTCTCACCAAAACTCTATATAGTTTAGCAATTTATTCTTGTATTCCAGTCCCCTTGCAATCAAGGCTAACATGCTATTTGCCTTTTCAATTTCTTGCTGTAGCTCCATGTTAATTTTGTGTGTCTTGTACAGGTACACTAATGTCCTTCTGAACATTGACATTTAGAAGTATCATGCCTTTAAAAGTACACTCTGATTTTCTATTCTTACTACCAAATTGAGTAACCTCACACTTCACTATGTTATACACTATCTATCACCTTGTTGCCCAGTCACTCACCCTGTCTATATATACATTTGCAGTTACTAAGTCTTCCTTGCAGCTTACATTTCTACCTAACTTTGTGTCATCAGCAAACCTGAATGCATCACTCTTGGTTTTTTTCATCTGAGATGTTAATTTCATTTGTAATATCTAGAACCCTAACTCTGCTCCTTGCGATGCTCCACTAGTCACAGCCTCACAAATTGAAAATACTTTGGTTATTTCTACTTTCTGCTTCTTGACCATTCACCAATCCTCTATTCATGGTAATCTATCACCCTCAGTTCCATGAGACCTTATTTTCTAAATTAAAGTTTTCATGTGGCATCTTAATTTTTCTTTGGAAATCCAAGTATACTACAATTACTGGTCCAAAAAGAAAAAATGAACGCTGGAGATCTGGAACAAAAACAGAAATAACTGGAGAAGGGTTCTGCGGAAGGGTCACTGGACCTGAAATGTTGACTCTGTTTTCTCTCTATGGATGCTGCAAGACCTACTGAGTTTCTCCAGCTATTTCTGTTTTTGTTTTGTAATTCTAAGTTATTTTACATGTATCCTAATTATTACATCCTCTAAGAAAACTCTAACAAATTTGCCAAACAGGAGTTTTGTTTTAAAAAATCGTATTGACTTGTTCTCATCGTACTATTCTTTATTGAATTGTTAATAGCTTCCAGCACTTTCTAGAAGATGTTGTCAGGCTAACTGGCCTATAGTTTTCTGCTTTCTCACACTCTGCTTTCCTAAATAGATCTGCTGAGATTGTTCTAGAATGTAGAGAATTATATAAATTCATAGCCAATACATCCATTGTCTTTGCAACAATATATTGTAGAATTCTGGGATGTAGACCTTGGGGAATGAGGTCCTGTGGATTTTTCAGATTTTAATCTCCCAAGTTTCTCCAGCACTTCTGTATAGTATAACCTAGGATTTCTCAATTCTTTTAGTCCCTTAGTTTGTCTCTCTGTAACCATATACACTGGGATATTATTTTTATCTCCTACTGTAAAGACAGACTCAAAATATTAGTTAAATGTCTCTGCCATTTCCTTATTCCCATGACAATTCATAACAAATATTAGCTATTCTTTATTACCGTCTGTCTTCATATTCCTGCCTAATCTCATATTCTGCATTTTCCCCTTATATCAACTTTTCTGGATTCTAAAATACTCCCAAGTCCTCAGACTTCCCACTATTCTTTCTGACATTATATACAATACTTAAAATATAATACCACACTTAGAGATAGTAAGAACTGCCAATGCTGGAGTCAGAGATAACACAGTGTGGAGCTGCAGGAGCACAGCAGGCCAGGCAGCATCAGAGGAGCAGGGAAGTTGACGTTTCGGATCAGGTTCCTTCTTCAGAAATGGGGGAGGCGGAAGGGAGCTCCGAAATAAATAGAGAGAGGAGTGGTGGGGCTGAGGAAGGTAGGTGGGATGGTGTTAGGTGAGTGCAGGTAGGCAGTGGGGGGAATTGGTCAGTGAGGTGGGAGGGACGGATAGGTGGGAGAGAAGATGGACAGGTTGTGTCAGGCCAAGGAGGCAGGGATGAGAGGGAGGGTTGATCATAGGATGAGGCCAGGGGTGGGAGGTTTTGAAACTGGTAAAGTCCACATTGAGACCATTAGTTTGTAGGGTCCCAAGGCGGAATATGAGGTGCTGCTCCTCCAGTTTCCAGGTGGCGTCATTGTGAGGAGGTCAAGGATGGACATGTCACCCAGGTAGTGGGAGGGGGAGTTGAAATGGTTCACAACCAGAAGGCATTGTCGTTTGTCGCGAGTAGAGCATAGGTGCTCTACAATGTGGTCTCCGAGCCTCCGGTTGGTCTCACTGATGTAGAGGACGCCACATTGAGAGCAGCGGATGCAATAGACCACGTTGACAGATGTGCAGGTGAACCTCTGTCTGATGTGAAAGGTTTGTTTGGTGCCTTGGATGGAGGTGAGGGGGGTGGTGTAGGGGCAGATGTAGCACTTCTCACAGTTGCAGGGAAAGGTGCCGGGGTGGTGGGGCTAGTGGGGAGTGTGGAGTGGATGAGGAAGTCAAGGAGGGAGCAGTCCCTACAGAAAGCAGATGGGGTGGGGAGGGAAATATATCTTTGGTCGTGGGGTCGGATTGCAGGTGGTGGAAGTGGCGGAAAATGATATGTTGGATACGGAGGTTAGTGGAGTGATACGTGAGGACAAGGGAGATTCTGCCTTTGTTTTTGTTGCAGGGAGGGGATGTGAGGGCAGAGGTGCAGGAAACGCAAGAAATGCGGTCGAGAGCATTTTCGACCACCGAAGGGGGAAAGTTGCAGTCCTTGAAATAAGAGGACATCTGAGATGTTCAGGCATGGAACGCCCCATCTTGGCAGCAGATGTAGTGGAGGCGGAGGAATTGGGAGTAAGGGATCGCATTCTTGCAGGAAGGTGGGTGAGAGGAGGTGTAGTCTAGGTAGCTGTGGGAGTCGGTGGGCTTGAAATAGATGTCAGTTTCAAGGCGGTCACCAGAGATGGAGACGGAGAGGTCCAGGAAAGAGAGAGAGGTATCAGAGATGGTCCAGGTGAACTTGAGGTTGGGGTGAAAAGTGTTAGTAAAGTTGATGAACTGTTCAAGCTCCTCATGGTACCACACTTAATTGCCTTAGTAGATCACAGATGGATCTCTCTTGCTATATTTTTATTAAACATGAATTGTTGCGTACTGTTTTTTCAGTACTGTACCATTTAGTTTATTCACTCAATGAACCTTACCTAGCGCTTTCCTCATATCTACTTAATTGGCTATATTTACATTTAAGATTCTTGTTTGAGATTTCAGCATGTCATTTTTCATTAGTATTGAATTCAGTCGTACTATCATTATTTCCTAGCTCTCTTATTATAAGATTAAAAGATTTCTGGGGGTCCTTGATGCCACAACTGGTCTCATGGATACAACAGTTGGTCAGATGCTATCTTGATGTCAAGAACAGTCACTCTTGCCTCATCTCGAGTCTATCTCTTCTGCCCGCATTTAGGTGAAGACTGTGAAGAGGTCAAATGCCAAATGGTCCTCGCAGAATGATGAGCAAGTTATGATGCTGGATTGCATTTGTCTGATTTTGTGGACAAGTCATACATGGGCAACTTTCTATATTGCCTGGTTCATGCCAATATTACAGCAATACATCGTAGTTTGGCTATGAGCTAAGCTAGTTCTGTAGCACACAGTCTTTAATACTGCAGCCAGAATATCATCAGGGTTCATAATCATTGCAGTATCCTGGGCAATCAACCATTTCTTGATCTTGCAATCAAATTAACTGTGATGGTGGGGACCTCAAGAAGAGGCTAAGATAGATCAACCACTTGGCACTTCTAACTGAAGATTTTTGCAAACACTACAGCCTCATCTTTTGCCTGATTTGTTGGATTGGGGATGTTCGTGGGGTCCCTTCTCCTGTTAATTGTCCACTGCCATTCTTAACTGAATATGGGAGCGCTGCAGAGCTTTGACCTGATCTGGTTATATGGGATCACTTAGCCATTGCTGTAACATGCTGCTTTGCATCTGTGCAGGTCTATTTTTGCTACTTCACGTTTATGCAGGTCTATGTTGTGGCTTTGTCAGGTTGGCATCTCATTTTTAGACATGCATAATGCAGCTTTTGGTGTGCTCTCCAACATTCCTCATTAATGCAGTGTTGGTCCCCTGGCTTATGCCGGATCAGGAAGTTGCAGGTTTTGTTTTAATACAAATCTGCTATTGATGGTCTGTAGCATGTCGTGGATGCCATATTTAAGCCGTTACATATGTTCCCAATCTGTCACATTTAGAAGTATTGCACTGCAAAACAATTGAGGATGTCTTCAGTGTTCAAGACTTTATGGGCATTTCCACCATTACTGCATGAACAGATGAGTTTCTGACAGCTAGATTGTTGAGAT